TTGCTCTCCCTCCTTCTTTTCTCCCTTTCTCTCTTCTTCCCTTGTTTCTCTCTGACTTTATCTGTTATCTGGGCAACCATACCTGGCAGACCTGCTTACTTACTTTAACCAACAGCAAAGGCCCTACTGACTGCTCCGACAGACAATGACGAATAATGCATCCAGTCAGGCCCCCCTCAACCAGGGAAGAGAATCACTGAAAAATAAAAAATAATTGTAAAGTCTGGTTTTATTACTACAAGTTGTTCAAGGGGGTATTTAAAACATGGACGCATAAAATGGGAACACCAATTTTTGTGGGAAAACTTTTTATTCGACAACAAAGAATGAGAAAACGTGTTTTTTGGGACTCAACCGGAAGTGTTGGCAGGAACAAAAAAAACTCTCGATATAAGATTTTAGATATTTGTGAGACCTACAAAATGAGATTTCACGTGAAAAGATCCGATTAATAGCAAAAAAGTTATGGCCGAAAGCCGAGGCAAACTGCAGGTTTCGGCACTTGTTGATAATGCGACGATGGTTTCTCACAGATATTTGAAAGTCTTAAAATTTGTAGGATTCATACTTCTAAATAAGCACAACAAAATTGGAATAGATTGGTCAGGTAGTTTTTGAGAATTTTTAATTACTTATCCCAAAACACCAGTTCTCCGGCCATCACTACTAGTTCAATGAGCAATATACAGGGTTAGTTCAAAGGGCATTTTATAGCAACATACACGAGTTTACCTTGCTGATATGAATCGCAAACTATTCCGGAAGATAAATCTTATTTTTCTTCAAAAAATGATGGGTTACGTTTTTTTCTTCTAAACAAATTCAAACATTTAATATTTGTAAGTAATTCGCAACAAAAGATAATAGATACAACCACTTTGCTTTAAAAAGTGTATAGCAACATATGATTTTCGAATATGGTAGCGCATTTGTTCAATTACTCACAAATACGGAACGTTTGAATTTGTTTACAAGAAAAAAAGTAACCTTTGTTTTCCACATCAAAAGAACATGTATCTTACGGAATGGTTTGTGATTTAAATCGACCAAGTAAGCTCGTGGATTTTTCTATTAAAAGCTCTTTGAACGAACCCTGTATATTGCTCAATAGACTAGTAGTGATGGCCAGAAAACAGGTGTTTTGGGATAAACAATTAGGAATTCACAAAAACTACTTGAGCAATATTTTCAAATTGTGTTGTTCTTAATTAGAAATATAAATTCTACAGATTTGAAGAGTTTCAAGTACTTGTGTGAAATTATCGTCTCATTTTGTCTCGTTTTTCGGCCATAACATTTTTGATATTAGTCGTATCTTTTTGCGTGTTGACTCATTTTGAAAGTCTCATAAATACCTAAAAATCTTATTTGCAAGTTTTTACGTTCCTGTCAACACTTTCAATTGAATCCCAAAACATAAGTTTTCTCATTCTCTGTTGTCGAATAAAAAGTTTTTTTACAAAAATTGGTGTACCCATTTTATGCGTCCATGTTTTATATACCTACTTGAATAACCTACATCAATAAAACCAGACTTTGCAATTATTTCGGGGAAATTTGCTAATCTAATTAGACTATTAGCTGTTCCATCTCACAGTTAACTTCGTCTTTAGAGATGAGACTGATGACGACAGCAAAACTTCTGCCCTTTGTCTGCAGACAGTTACTCGGTCAGCCACTGTTGTAACACTGTTTAAGAATACAGCTCACCAAAAGGTAAAAGAACTACTCCAACTTTCTCCCAGTTAATCTACTTCCTTCTCCTTTCAAGAATAGGAGTCCAGATATTCAGTAAACAACTTTTATTCCCTTATGTTGACAGTTTGACATGGATTGTTCATTGTACTGGTATCCGAAATCAAAACCAAATCGTATTGGCTGATGTTTCCAGCTAGAAGTACAAGTGATTTAAATGAGTTCACCTGCAATGCACGAAATCCAAGTACATGTTTTCGATACGGGAGCAACTGCATCATTCTTGCAACCTAGAAGCATACAACCTATTCAAGTTATTCAAGATGCAATTTTCTGTAGATGGAAAATGTTTCCTTGCACAGGAACAGTATTTATCTCATAAGTAGTATGTTATCGAAAATGTTCATACCTGTTTTTATAATTTTTGATGAAACCGTTAATCCAGAATATTTAACGTTTTCCGCAATATCTATAGCCAATATACCTATCCTATGCATGGGGATCTCAATACCTGTGGAAGATACAGCGTAGGTTAAATTAGGAAAAAGTTGCGTTCTTTGAGGCGTAATAACATGCAGTTAAGAACATTTCATGGCTTACTGAGATATTTGGGAAAACTAAAATTTAAATCTTTTCTCAAAAAAACATTTTTCTTTGGCACTTTTTAGGTATTACACGGTGTTTTTAAATTTTTTGCCCAATGGTTCGTTTTTGAGGAACCATCATCAACGTTATTTTTTTATATGGTCTGAAAAAAGTACACCCTGTATCTAATAGCATTTTTTTATACGAATTCAACGTGTTAAATTTATTTGGTTATAAGCAAAAATGCGATTTTTGTCTTTTGTTTTGTTAATTAGGCGTTGCAAATGCTTGACTTGACGTATTGTTATTGAGAATTGTTAATATTGGCTTATTACGGTCAAAGATGCCAGGCGGTCATTTTAGCAATCAAGAAAAGTTCGACATGCTGACGTGCTATATTTTTTACTACAAAAATTATAAAATAACTGTATAAATGTGTATGGATAAATTTCCCAAAAGAGAGGAGCAAGGTAGGTCCATTTTGTAAAGGTGGCTACAGACACAACTGCAAGCTTGTCCTGCATGCTTATTCAATCTTTTTGTACAAGAATGCACAATTAGCCTTTGGCACCACACGTACAAGCATGCTTGACAAAAATAAAGGTAGTTTAATAAAATATGTCGAGCTCGGACGACGAGGCGCTCGCTTTGGCCGCTTTTGTTCTTGTGAAGAAAAGAAAATCCAGAATAAAAAAGCGTGCAGTGTACTGTAAAGAATGGTTGATGAAAAGGAGAACCTATTCTAACATTAACTTACTAAGTGAGCTGAAAATGTATCCGCGTGACTGGCACAACTATCTTGGAATAAATAAAGAGATGTCTTTGAACCTTTTGTCTCTTGTATCACCTCTGAATCAAAAGCAGGATGCCATCATCAACGGACGCCAACTTGTGCAAGCTTGAAAATCTTGGGTACGCAAGTACCGTTTTGCTTGCGCAAGCGCGCCTAATTCAAACATGCATATTTAAAATCAATTCAATCCTCAAGCTGTTTGTAAAATTACAAAGCTTGCACCACATTTCCCTACAGACATTCAAGCATGCGTATAAACAGATTGAACAAGCATGCTGGACAAAATTGCAGTTGTGTCTGTAGCCACCTTTACAGTCTAGCTCGAAATTTAAATCAATATGGTTCATTCAAAAAGGCTGCTACATCTCCGAAAAAGGAATCTTCAGATGAAACCCAGAATAGTGTTTTACAAGCAGTTGCTGAGAGCTCTGAGATATCAACAAGTTGAGAAAAATGTAAGAGTAGCCAAATCCACAACCCAATTTATTTTGCGTAAAAATAGATATCACTCTGAATGGAGTTCTGGTCAAATCTGGTCAAATCATGGTCTCAGTTATGTATGAAGAATGCAGAAGAAAACGCACAGGAAGTAAAATACGTTGAAGGGAATAAGAAGCAGAGAAAAAGAGGAAAGAATAAGAGAGAAGAGGCCTGTGGACAAAAGTCAAGCATAAGCTACATGCACCACAAAGCAATTAATCAGGCACTACACGAGTGCTTCAAGCATAAGCCAAAGGCAGCAATAAAACGAAAGCTAGCGACCTAGAGTGTAGGGTGGCCTTTAAAGTGAAGGGAAATCTTCCAATCTTAAATCTTAGAGATCCCACAATACTAGTGGTGTGAACGCCTACATCAATTGAAATTGTGAAGGTTTTCCTTTTTTCCAGCTATTTTTCGGAACTAAATCCGCACTTGCGAACAGACGCTCTGTTCGAATCCGACAAATTGCAATGGCGATCTTTTTTCCTTACTTGTTGTGCGCGTCTCGCGCCTGACATTTCTACGCCAGTTGGCATGCTATAATCAAATTCAAGCGGATAACCAAATGGAAATGGTATTTACCATTTTGGATTGGTATTTACCGATCCGTTCAAGCAAGTGTGGTTATCAGTTTGGTTATAAGATCCGTGACGTCATGAATCAGCTGTTATATGTCATAGTTATCACCGCAAAATTGTGGTATTTACCCAACTCGGGAGTAGTTTTATATTTCTGGTTATTATTTGACATGTGACAAGTTAGAATTTTGGGTATTGGATATTTTTATTGTACTTTAGCTTCATTTTTGGGAAACTTGATAGAGGCTGATTTCAGTTTTAGCATAAGAGATCACCTTATTATTTATAATCATTACTGTTGTTGGGGACACTTTAAATCTAGTTCCTACGCTTAACAAAGTATTCTGTATAGCCCATATACCACAAGAATATTAAAAAAAGGCCGTATAAACTCACTGGATGATGTCCACCTGTATACGGTTTTGTTAATATCTTTTTTTCACCGCTTTTTCATCATTTCTGCTAAATCAATAAATATTTTCTTTGACATGCGGAAAATTTTAGAGAATTGAAAGTTATCATAGCTAAAAAGCCATGGTACCATCAATAAAAAAAAAATTCTGAAAAAAGAACATTCCTCCCATTAATATTATGAAAGTTTTCATTTTTTCAACTTTCCATACCCCGTTGTAGACGAAAAAGCACCAATTAATAAGTGATAATAAAAATAATCAGAAATTATATACGCGCTTTTCTAAAACAAACAACTTGCAACAAACCGCAGTTAAAACCAACGCGTTGAAGCGATTCGAGTAACGCGTCATCATCCCGTGTGTCATCTTGAATCATATTATAACCGCGGTACATAATACGGAAATGTTGGTTATCCGCTTGGATTTGATGATTGATTTTCACCTTTGACAGTGACAGCCGACTTGACACCTGTCTACAAAATTCATTGCTACATAGGTTATAAAATTATGAACAATGACTAGTTTTGCTTTAGGTACCGATTTATCAAAGGAAACAGGTAATTTGATTACAATAGTGAGTTAAGTATCTGTCACTTATTTAGTTTTGTTTCAGGTTCACTAGAGCAGGTTCACCAGGTGGAATCCAGAGAATACTGTATACACTGAATGCAAAATGCAGTATGCACCATACAATGTCAATAACTAAATCAATAAAACTACTGAAAAGGATATACAGCATATTGTTTCTAACTACAATTTCTTAAACCTAGATGGAAATCATAAGAACAGAGTTGCAGGTACAAATTAGTGGTTTTCTAAAGCAGTTCATCTATATCGCTAGATCTGTTAGATATTAGTTGTCTCTGTTTTGGCTTGAGATAACAGACACAAGTAACAGTACAAACCTTTTTTTTCTGAGAAACGTTTCTTTTTACAAAAAAAATAATATATACGACTTGCACAAAATAAGTACAATTTCTGGCTGTTTTAGAGGTAATAAATTTTGAACTTGTAACATTGGACCAGGGGATATCGAACAGCGCATACATTTTTGTGAGTGATACACACGGACCTGTGAATAAGATTTTAATTTCCATTAAAAAGTAATATGGTCACTAATAATGTTCTTTAATCGCCGGAACAATCATTACTGGGCCCAAGAAAACCTGCGTGCTAAAAAGGTATCAAAACAGAACGTTTGGGGTTTATTATAGGGTGTGGAATTCTAGGGACCAAAATATTAGGTCCATTTATTTAGGACAACTCATAAACTGCAATAAATATAAATATAAATATAAATAAAGTCAGAAAAAAATAGAAACGATTTGACGAAGTTTTAGTTTTTCCCAAATATCTCAGTAAGCCATGAAAACGAACGCAGCCTTTTTCTAATTTAACCTAAGCTGTACCTCTTACAGGTGTTGAAACTCCCACGCATTGGTTCCTCATCTTTGATACCTTTGATATTTTCTTATTTATAAGGTTTCATTCTGAAGGTTTATTCCATCTCTGTAACTTTTTAATTCGCAACTTATTTATCCAACAAAATCGTTTCGTTCTTGATTTCTTGTGTTTCCAAAATAAATCCATGGATGAAGCATAAATAGAAAAGGTACTAACATAGATCATCACTTTGACTGGCGCTTTAGTTTGTTCATTCTGTATTAACTCATTTACTTAAGCCATCTTGGCAAATGCGCATTTCTACCTAAAGACGGTATTTGGAATGCCGTTAAACCGTCGTCTGGTCAGTTAGCTACTATCAACAAAATCTCACTACGTAAAAGGAGCAGGTCTACAACTTGTTTGTTGTAGATCAAGTTCATGCAGCCAGTTTGACAGATGTTGACATTTCACATTCATCCATACTTGTCTTCGAAAGCTTATAAAAGTGCTAGGGTACATACAATACTAGTGTTCAAGACAGTTGCTGAAAATGATGAAGGTTTATGTAGATTGTGAACAGCAGATTAAACTGAATAAGAGTAAATCTTTTTATAGGTAAGCGTTATGCAGGGTGGCGCAACGAAAAGGTCGCGCCCCCATTATGACTGTCCTGGTATATTTTGGGAAAAACGCTCGGATACGTCAATGTTGATTCCTAGGGGGACGTCCTTCCATCGATAGGCGTACAATACAAGGTGATCCAAAAATAGTTTATATCTATCTTCAATCGTTGTGACCTAACGGACTTAGGTCCGGAGATCTCAGCGGCCACCCCATAGGTCCTCGTCTGCCGATCCACTTATGTGATGGGACATGGGTGTCCAAAAACTGTCATACTGGAGCCACATGTGCGGCGGTGCACCATCTAGTTGGAAATGGATGTAATTTTCATTATAATTGACGTCTCGCCAGTCAAGTTTCTAGGAATAAAGAAGGGTCCTACAATAGGATTTTCGAAAATGTCTGCCCACACTTTTCAGGTTGTTGCGAGTATACGTCCCGAAACAAACGTGGATTCGAGACAGTCCAATATCAACAATTATGTCTGTTTATAGCAACATGTAAACAGAACGTACACTCATCCGAGAAACAAATATTAAATAACATATTTGCATTGTTGATTAAACGTTGGGACATTAATACGCAAAACTCCATCCATCACCAAAATCACATTCATGAAGCTCATGGACAAGTTTGTTTCTTGTACGGGTGAAATTCATTGTCTTTCAAAATTCTTTGTACTGTTGTGCGTGTTAATCCTAAACAAGTAGCCAATCACAAAGAAAATTCTGAATTGTATCAAATTTTAGCGAATCACCTTCCTTTGCCTCTAAATTTAGAATCAATTCTCAGTTCTGAGAACCAGCAAGTTTACGAACTTTTATACAAGCATTGTCGGAAAGTAGGCCAACATTATAAAATGTACATTACAGTAAGTTTGTTTTGAAAAAATGAAGAACAGAAGAAAATATTGAAAAAAAGTAGATCAGTATAAAGTCATATGTATATGTTGCTTTCGTGATATATCAAGAGCAACGACATTAGCCTCACCATGAGACTGGATGGATTTACTCCACAATTGCGAGACGTAAGCTAGGAGGTCTCCTGTGGGTCGCTGGTGCAGGAAATAGTACTTCCTGTCGGTAATCAGATCGTAACGTTTGACATGCTCCCGATTTATTTACTTCTCCGTCAGCTTACTTAGGAAGCACAGCTATAGGCTTGTATTCGTAAGGGTCGATCTTTGATCGTTTTTTTGGCTGTGTTGGACATGTTTTCTGGGAAGGATTCGGTCACTGTCACATCTGTATGTTTGACATCTGCGCTTTTGTCAATGATTGCTGGCAACGTTACAATTATCTGAAGATGATATGGTGCTTAAAATTAAAGTCAGAAGATACAGTTTCTTAAAAACCAACCACATTCATATTTAATCCTCATGGTTATCTGTTTTTGAGCATTCCCATTAGCTTTGTCTATCGGGGTAATGCATTTCAGTTGCAAATATATTACAAAATTGCAATCCGTATATTGTCAATCCTGCTTCGGTTTGCATGTCACTGCTGACAGGTCTCCGTGCACGGCACACGTAGATATAAATTGTTCTATGAAATCATTTCGATGTTTTGTTTCACGCATATCAGTATTTCCGATGAAATATTGTACGTTTGCACATCCAACGAGGTATTGGGGCAAGACCGATAGCTTTTCAATTTCAGTGAAAATACTAAATGTAGAGCATGGGATTGCACTTAGCGGTCAAAGGTGATATCTTGTCAAAAAATCTGTTAGCGTAGCACTCTCATATAAAGGTTCACTCAGAGGTTTTACATTCACTAACTACTTCTGGTGTACTTTCCAAATCTCTTATTATTTTATCTAATAGTGCTTAACCATTTAATGTACGTATCGGGTATCTGTATAACTTAACGTGTATTGGTACAATTATGTACTTGAACTTGATTGTTCTAAATTGATGTTCTTAGATGACCTGAAATGTTATTCGCCTCTCTGTCTCCTGCTTGAAAGACTGTATACCTATTCAATGTCAAATAAATTTACTTCAAAGTTGGTGCGTCAAGAATCAAATTCGTCTTAATATAAGTAAATGTAATGTAGTAACTTTTTCTAGGGAAATCAACGCTTTATTATACAATTAATCAATTGATAAATGTGCCCTTAAGTGTAGCGAAACTGTTAAAGATTGGGGCATTTATTTCGATAAAGCAACTAACTTTCAATGAATATATAAATCAAACTATCACAAGCGCTTACAAAACCTATAGCTTTGCGATCAAGAATTGTAAAAATTTTAACGCTAGTACTTTACAGACCTTATACATTAGCTTAGTTGGGTCTAAACCCAAATATGAATCTCTGATATGGGGTTCGACTTATAAACTATATATTAATGCTGTTAATAAACTCCAAAAGAAAATTTTAAAACTCTTGAGTTTTAAGATTGATGGCTTATATCCTAGTAGTGCTGCAAAACGTAACACCCTCTTTTGTAGATTTGGCTTGCAATCCTTCGAACAGCGGCGTAAGCAATCAGCAATTCTAGTTTTGTATCAACTGTTGCATAATCTTATATAAACAGATTGTCCCACAATATTTTTACAAATGCAGTTTCTGCCTGTTAACATCATGTGTGTGAAGCTAATAAAATATCGACGTTTGCGACATAGTTTTTTGCAGCTTAGGCAAACTGTTTGCTCATTTTTCATTTTCTTACCCCTGTTTCTTTTTATTCCTGTATTTAACTTATTTAATGATATATTTTATTAAACAATGACTATTACCAGAACAAAATTTGGTGCAGTCATAGCCTTACTTCGTATCTACAAAGAACTATTCCAGAACCGTTCAAATGAAACTTAAAAAATAAAGTAATACTGAAGTACTGCAATTATTGAAAATTCAGAGAGGAGATGTAAATCTCCCGGAAAGGGACAAAAAATAAGGACCCTCGAATCAGTAAAAATAAAAATCGTTATTTGGAGATAATCACTTGAGTAGAAAACACATACACATTAAAAATTACAATTAAAACAACGGATCAAAGAGATTATAAATAATTACAAAATGACTTACGGAAAATGTTTGGAAATCTAAGTAATTTAACTGCTGGTGTACTAGCATCCATTTCTGAATGGAGATTCACTACAGTTGAAATGGGTAGAAAAAAATTCAATACTGCAATTCTTAGTAAAAGTACGTCAAAAAATTTGGAAAAGCTAAGCACTAGGTGGTGAAAGTAGGAGAAGCAAGAGCATTTTTTATTGTTTTCCTTCTCACTTCCTATGCCAAAACTGGCAAGGAATTATTGTAATCGCTAAAAAACTTCGAAATTGTAGTGTTGTAAGTATTATGTTTTTGGACGTTACATCACAAAAACCCAGGTCATTCTTTTCCGTAGGTTTATTTATATGTCAGTATGTCCGCTAATTGTATAACCTCCTATAGCTTGAGAAGTATCTCTTGGATTTTGATGAAATTCTCACACTACTATACAAGAATGAAAAAGCTTCGTGGTTTTTGAAAATCAGTCTAGTTCAGGTTGTAAATGTTACGTCTTTGGTTTGAGTCAAAACGTTCTATCATCAAGATGCTTCTGATCCCAGTAACAACGAAAAAATTAAATGATAAAAGCCCGTTTGTATTTATAATGTGCTCATAATTCGAAATAAGTTGACAGTCGTTAGTGTTGCGTGCACGGCGCGATGCTGCATTGTCGTGGAGGCTACTAGCAACTGTGCAATGGGTAACAAACTCCCAACT